CGACCCCTAGAGGACGCAGTGTCTCGTTCCCTACTCAGGGAACCATGGTTACATATGTAACCTGAGACGTTTTGCAACATATATATTTTTATCTATACAGTATCAGAGAGGAGGAGCCTGATCTGATTATAAAACCCTTTATAATCTATAATAACATTAAACTTATTTAATATTTTCTCTAAACCTTCTTGGATATCAGAATCAGAAAGAGCTTTATTGCCAAGTATGCTTGCGCATACAAGGAATTTGTTTTAGTGACATAAGCTTCCAGTACACAGAGACAACAACACACAGACAATTTAAATAATAATATGAAAATGAAAAAATGCACATATGTAAATATAAGTAGACAAAAATTGAAAAATAAATTGAAAAATAAATAAAATTGCATGTACAGTTGTGCTATAGATGATAGAATGGAATATAATAGAATGAGATGCAGGGATGTACTAGGATGGAGGTGGTAACAAATAAATGCACATTTTTATTGGATAATGGGTGGAACATTTAGCTGTTCATAAGGTAGATTGCTGTAGAGATGGAGTGATTTTCTGAGCTTTTTTCCTCACTCTGGATGTATACAGTTCTTGAAGGGTGGCCAGGGGAGCACCAATAATCCTTTCAGCAGTACGAACCGTTCTCTGTAGTATTCTGATGTCTGATTTTGTAGCGGAACCAAACCAGACAGTTATTGAAGTGCACAGAACAGACTCGATGACAGCCGAGTAGAACTGTTTCAGCAGCTCCTGTGGCAGGTTAAACTTCCTCAGCTGGCGAAGGAAGTACTGTCACACTTAGCCTAGTGCGAGGAGCGAGGAGACAAGGTATTAAACTCACGAAAGTCTTTTAATTCAAACAGCCAAGGGAATACTCGGGGCAGATGGGAACACAGGGTTTGACGTTCAATCTCAGACAAAGCCAGACACCACAGACTGGGGCTAATAATCACTGGGCACTTAGGGGAACACAGGTGCATGGAATGACTAATTAACTGAGACACGGCACACCTGGGGAGGGAAAACACAACACAATGAGTCCAGGGGTGTGACAAGTACAACCTCTGCTGGCGAATTTTTTTATTTCAAGACAGGCACCCTGCAATTCTGGCCAAATTAAAGATACGCTGTGTGTGAATTTGCACGATATAATGTAAGCATCATTAATGACCCCTTGTGTTTAATAAAAAAAAAAAAAACATTGATTAGGGAAATGAAAGAATGATTTAATAAAAATGAGAATGATTAGTAATGGTTTCTAACTGGTCTGATTTAAGCCCGCAAAACACTTCTTATTCAGTGGTACAGTATTGCATTATTTGTAGATTATATTTAATAGTCTTACTTTGCATAAACATTTGCAATTAGTTTTAAAAGGTAACTGTTCCCAGATAGCACACGTACGTCTGCAAGTTGTCTGTTAATTTGCTTTATTTGACAACGAGGAAAATCACATTTACTCCGGGAACACAAGTACAGTCTATCCAATGCTGAAAACTCATTAATACTAAACTTACTTAAACTTTTTATTCTAGGTGTGTTACAAAAACAATGTCAAACCGAGTGAGGAAAGTCCTAACCTTTATGAAACATCAGTATTTCAACATTGTTTCAACATTGTGCTGTGCAAGAATGACTTAAACGACAGATGTTACAAACACTCTTACTGATAACCTTCAGGCCATTGTATAAAAACAGATACTTCATTTGTGCCAAGAATCGAGGGTTTTGCAATATATATATATATTTATCTATACAGTAACACAGAGGAGGAGCCTGATCTGACAGATATTTAACACAGTGTTTGTGTCACATTGAACAACATCGCAACACAAACATTACTGTTTTATTCTCCATCATTTACCTCACAAAGCATTCAACGTTCAGATAATCCTTCAGCAAAATAGTTTTTACTTTCTTCAAGATTCTTCAAGTGAAGGCAAGATTGCAGTAAGTTGATGTTTCCTTCTAATGTCAGTGTGATTTGATCATTATAAATGAGGATGATGATCAGTCGTGTTTCTCTCTGTAGATGACGGTGTTTGTCGCGGTGCTGCTCTCTGTTCTCATGGGGTTTACTGTGTCTGTTTCTGATCGATTCAAGCCCGTCGACTGTTCTGACCTATATAAAGCAGGAGAAACAGTCAGTGGGATTTACTCCATCTATCCAGCAGGAGACATTCCTGTCTGGGTTTACTGTCAGATGATCTCAGATGGGAAAGATGAAGATAAAGGAGCATGGACGGTATGACTTTAGATCATTAAACAAACATCAGCACATTCATTATGAATCATATATTCTCTATAAACCCATCACAGGTGATTCAGAGGAGAATGGACGGCAGTGTGAATTTCTATCGGCCGTGGGATCAGTACAAGAGAGGATTTGGGAATGTGGAGGGAGAATACTGGCTGGGTAAGATCTCACAGCGTGTGTGTGTTTGTGTGGATGTTCATGTCCAGTGTTTGGTTGAAGGTGTTCTTCATGTGTGTGTATGATCAGGGCTGGAGAACATGTACCAGCTGACACGTAAGAACAAGTACATGCTGAGAGTGGATCTGGAGGACTTCACCGGAAGGAAAGGTTTCGCTCTGTACTCGTCCTTCTCTGTGGGTCCTGAAGCTGACGGCTGTAAACTGCATGTTTCAGGATTCACTGATGGAGGAGCAGGTAGGACGCTTTCATTCATACTCATGAAAACTCATTGATAAAATCACACTTGAACAGATGTTTACTTGCTCAAAGACTTTCAAATCTTTTTTGTAATTTCACTGAAACATGTTCTTCACGTAAAGAAGGATGCTTCAATGTATCAAATAGACCCTGATAACATAATACATCTCAGAGACGTCTATTTGACGTCTGCATTTTCATCTGCAAGATGTATTAGTCTTTACTCAAATGCAGTACGTCTATGGGACGTTTCCTATCAGATGTCAAATGTTTATGATTTAGAATGCATGCAAAACTGACGTCTTAAAGACATCTATTAGATGTTTGCACACAGCAGATGCTTTCCAGATGAAGAGATCTTTAACAGACATCGTGGAGATCGGCCAAACAAACAATGATCAGGGCCGATTATATCCTGTCATTCAAAAGGAGGTGGAGAAACATGTCATCTGTGTTCATGCATTAGCCCAATCTCACTTTAACACAGGTTTTTAACAACGCGGGTTCTCTTTGACCCTATTCAGTTCAGGTTTACTATAATAAAACCATGGTTAACTTTCGTAAGAGTTAAGTAGTTTTAATATCAGTTACTTTAATACTTTTACATCAGTATTTTTTTGGTAACAACTTTGACTGAAGTATGATGATTGCACACTTTATGCAACACTGGTGTTTGCTGTCATTGAACCTTCTCAGTAGAGAGTCTTTCCATTCATCCCCAAACTCTCTTGTCAAGTCCCTTTCAAATGCCAGTTGCACTAAATGGGCCTTTCGCTGATTATGGGACCGACTTGTTATATTTTCCTATATACATTTTCATTTCATCTACACAACATCTTTTATGTCACTTTATATTTATTTAACTCGCAGGGATCGCGAGTCTCTTCCACTTTAATACAAGTTATAGCGTGTATAGTATTGGCTCTGTTGTTCATTTTAACCTCTAATATTAATGTACCAAATGAGAGGTTTCCCTGTGTATTGCACATTAGCCAGGAAAGATTTTTTCTGCTTTTTCTGCATCAGCAGACTTCATTCTGAATAATCAGCTATCAGTATCGGCAAAGAAATTAAATATCATAAATATAAATAAGTCATAAATAAGACGTTAATGTCCTCAGTGACCCTCTTCTTCTCTGCAGGCGACTCGTTGACCTACCATAATGGACAGAAGTTCACTACCTTTGACAAGGACCAAGACGCCTATGGAAATAACTGTGCCAAACAGTATCTCGGGGCATTTTGGTACAATAGCTGTCACTACGCAAACCCCAACGGTGTGTATTTATGGGGAGAAGATCCCACCATTTTAGCCATTGGAAATGTTTGGTACACATGGAAGACCAGTTATGCCGTTAGCATGAAATTCATCAGCATGAAGATCAAACCTGTGCCCTAGAAACATCAGTGTTTTCAGGAGCAAACATCCCATGTTGTTTCCACTATATTACAAATGTGAAGCTTTAAGGTTTTATTTTCCTCAGTCTAAGCTTTGGTCTGCTTCTGGTCTTTTGTTTTACTATTATGTAAATGAACTTCCAGTAAACTCCTGCAGTTAAAGCATTATGTCTTGTGTACATTGTGTCAGATGTGGTGTTGTCATCAGAAATCAATCCTTTTATGAACTATAAGTGAAACAAATGGTTAAACAAAGGAGATACAGTTTTAAACAAGTTAAATAAATAAGGAAATCATTAAATGAGTGAAATAAATGAAATGAAATCTGCATTCCAGTCTGTTCTCTACTCCTGTATTTCATATTTCCTGCAAATAACGAGTAAATACTCTACGTCTCTAATGTTCACAAAATCCAGTCGGATGTTTCCCTATAATATATAATTCACTGGGTCCTATTCTTGGTCTTCCTTTTGATTCTTGGTCCTACCTTAATCATTCTTTAGTAATTCCTTCCCATCTTCCCTTTTGATCGTGGAAGCCTGATATCTGTGTCTATAATGTCTTTTTTTTTTTCAAATCTCGTTTGGTTATTTTGTCTACCTTTTCATTTCCCATAATGCCTATATGGCTTTATAACTCGCAATTGAGACTTTATATCCCACAATGCTGACTTTATAACTGTTACAGGGACTCTGCGTTTCAAACCCAGAAATGCAAGATATGTCAACACAATATTAAACATGAACTGATCTCCTCCTATATTAATTTTGTGCAAAAACACACAAAACAAATTCATTTCAACATTTACTCTCCATACCGAAGCATGCAGGTAAAAATCGTGTCCCACTTAATTCCTTAATTTGAATAATGTTGATATGAAATATGTAATAATTGTAGTTCTTGAAATTGATCAGTATAATTTCTCCATTCTC